GGGGCCTGTTCCCAGCCAGCTCCCGGCCTGGGGGCGGCCGCCGGTCCCCGGTGAGCCCTCGCAGCTTACCTGTCAGCATGCTCTCGTTGACGATGCAGGTGCCGCTGACCAGCACCGCGTCGCAGGGCATGACCATCCCGTTGGAGGGGATCACGAGGACGTCCCCGGGCACCAGGTCCACAGACAGGATCTCCTCGATGCCTGGGCGTCGGAAGCAGGGTTGGAAAACGGGCAGCGCAGACGCGGCACCCCCTCCCCAGCACAACCCAGCCCCCACTGGCGGAACCACGGGAGCCTGCTGCTCCGGAGGGAGTGAGGACAGGGTGGGCTGCGGGGGGGGGGTGTGCACACCAGGAACAGGCAGGCACGCGGGCACACACACACGCACACACAGAGGAGGAGGAGGAGGAGGGCATCATGAGCTAAAGCTCCGCAACGGCCCTTTGACTTTGGGAACATGCCTTGGTCCACGGACGTGCTTGACCGGGGGTGGGGGGGATAGGACTGAGGGCAGGAGCCAGATCCGAGGAGGAGGTTGGATTCATACCCCATGGCCAATGTTCCCTCTAAGCTGTAGAGTTTTGTGAGCAAAAATTCTACTTTGTGAGCTACTGGCATTAAGGTTGTGAGCAAGCAATTTGGTTACTGCATAAATTAGTTTGCACTGGAGCCATCCTTCTTGAGCTAGGACAGAAATGTGTGAGCCGGAGGCTAAAACACTGTGAGCTAGCTCACACTAACTCAGCTTAGAGGGAACACTGCCCATGGCCCTTCACTACCCAAAGGAGCCTCAGAGCAGCTTACAGTCTCCTTTCCCTTCCCCTCCCCACAACAGACACCCTGTGGGGTAAGTGGGGCCGAGAGAGCTCTTTCGAGGACGGCTCTTGAGAGAACAGCTGTGAGAGAACTTGAGACTGACCCAGGGTCACACCAGCAACTGCATGTGGAGGAGGAGTGGGGAATCAAACCCGGTCCTCCCAGGTTAGAGTCCGCACACTTAACCACTGCACCAAACTGGAACAGAAGGACCAACTCTCCATGGGAGTAATAGAAAGGCTGTGCCAGAGGGAAGCCCTCTCCCTGCCTGGGCGGGAGCGTAAGGACAAGTGGACCCTTCCCTCAGGGAAGACCTCCTCCTCGGAGTCGAAGCGCCAAGAAGCCAGTGTCCCCAGGAAACCATCCAGACGCAGACCCTCCTCAAGGCAGCGACGCCCCGACACCCTACCTTGGTCCACTGTGCTGACCGACACCCTCATGAGGCTGTGCGCTGCCACCATGTCGTGGAGCATCGTGTATTGCTGCAGAGAGGAGGAGGAGGAGGAGGAGGAGGAGGAGGAGGAGGAGAAGTCGTCTCAGGCGGACGCTTCTCTAGGGCAAGTGGAGCCGGCTCCCGTCCCAGGTGCTGCTGAGGGGCAGGAACACCCCCCCACACACACACCAGACCCAAGCAGGGATGTCCCGTCAAGAGCATGAATGCCACCGCCACCACCTCACAAGGAGACCGCCCTGAGCACACCAGTTCCCCAGCGCGTGTGTCGTCACCGGCAGCGTTCCCGCCTCTTCCTCGGACGCAAGAGGCACGGCACCCGAAACAGGGCTGTCTGGGGGGTGGTGGTCTGGGAACAGCCAGAGGGCAGCCGATGCACGGAGGCCCCTTTGTGGGTGGAGGTCTGCGGCCAGACCTCCCCCCCCCCGTCCCTGGCGCCTCCGTAGCCCCGCGGGCACCCCCCACGGCTGGCCCTGGAAGCCCACGGCTGGCCCAGGACCAGTATTCCCTCTAAGCCGAGTGAGTGTGAGTTAGCTCACGGTTTTTTAGCCTCCGGCTCGCACGTTTTCGTCTGAGCTCAGGAAGGAAGGACGTGGCTCCAGAGCAAACTGATTGACCCAGTAGCCAAATCGCCCGCTCACAACTTTAATGCCAGGAGCTCTCCAAGAATGTCTGCTCACCAGACTCACAAGAGCTTAGAGCGAACACTGGCAGCAGGTCCCCGGGGTCCCCTCCAGAATGCGGCTTTCCTTCCCCTCGGGAAGCTCACCTGAGGAGCCCCTGGCCTCGGGAGCCCTCTTCCCCGGGGAGGGGGCCTGACGGGACTGTCCCTTGGGCAAAAGTGAGGGAGGAGGAAAACGCACTGATCTGGGGCCGCTTGCTGTTGTGGTGACGGAAGGGAAAGGTATTTCGTGACGGGCTTTCTGCTTCCCGAGGCCCTCCACAGACAGGGCCGGAGTGGCCCCAGAGCAGGGCCAGAGGGGGAGGCGAGGGGCCACTTCACCGCCTGCTCCCTCTGCCCCCTCCCAGGCCGGGAGGGGCTTTGGCCGCGGAGGGCAGCTGCTGGGAGCCCAGGAGGCCTGCGCACCCACTCTGAGGAGGCGTGGGGCAGCAAGGCTCGCTCGCACCACTGGCCCACCCAGCAGCTGCCCAAGAGACCCCAGAAGGGCAGCGAGCGGCACACAAAGGGGTCCCTCAGTCCGGGCCCACGGCAACAGATGCAGCCCTTGGGAGCCTCTGCAGTGCCTGCAGCCACCAGGACAGTCCCGGCTTCAGAACTGTGTCCCCAGACGCCTGCGGGGAAGCTGCACTGCCGCCCTGCGTCAGCCCCAAGAGCAGCCGACACGGGGGGGGGGGGGGGGCACGACACCCCCTGGGGGACAGCCCCCCCCGGGGGGGGGGGGGGGGGGGGGGGTGGCTGGATCCACAGCCGGCAGGCACACGGGGGGCCGCCCCCCCACACACACCAGTAGCCCTACCTTGCGGATGGTGTACAGGGAGCTGGCCACGGACACCAGGGACATGACCACGATGGCCAGTGCATAGTAGTAGTATTCGTCTGTGCTCCACAGGATCACACTGAACAGCTGGAAAACGTAGAACGGGTTGAGGACCTGGGGGGGGGGGCGGCAGGCAGGGTGGGAGGGGGAGAACATAAGAACATAACGTAAGAACATAAGAGACGCCAATGGTGGATCAGGCCAATGGCCCATCCAGTCCCAACACTCTGTATCACACAGTGGCCAGAAATACCAGGGGCCATCAGGATGTCCAGCAGTGGGGCCAGGACACCAGAAGCCCTCCCACTGTTGACACCCC